AAAATTCTGATTCCTGTACAGTACTATACATTAAACTTGAGGTCATTAAACTACAATAATGTGATCACTTATTTTATTTACAGTTACTGATGACTGCTTGCTTGGCATTGCACGTGATGATTACATTTTTACGAAACTTAAAATACTGTTATGTATTTAGATGTCAAAATTAAGACTAATGTACAGATAATGGTAGTGATAATGACATTTTGATAAAGACATATCTAACATAGAACAATAAATTGAGTGATTATGATATAACGATAACGAACAATATATATATAACAATAACAATACATCTAAATAAAAGAAGGTATGAAGAATCATATGTAAATGTGAACACGGGTTTTTATCATATTGTTTTGATATGGTGATTTTGCATTCACTGTACATTGCATTATACAACTTAAACAACATATATCACAAAGAGAGAAAGAGAGAGAGAGAGAGAGAGAGAGAGAGAGAGAGAGAGAGAGAGAGAGAGAGAGAGAGAGAGAGAGAGAGAGAGAGAGAGAGAGAGAGAGAGAGAGAGAGAGAGAAGGAGAGAGAGAGAGAGAGAATGAGGGAAGGAGAGAGAGAGACCGAGAGAAAGGAAAGAGAGAGAAAGATATATATACTGAGAAACAGAGAGGGAGGAGAAAGAGAAGAAACCGACTTTCCTACATAACCATCTCCTTAAAGGTTCCCTAAATGCGTTTCGTATACAATTGTGCATTGCAAACATCAAAACACCTACACTATATTCAGCACAACTAAGAGTTACTACATTTGATAATGATTTTCGCTCTTATATCACTTCTGTATAAGTTATATCTGTGAGACGTGCTTGTCTGTTTGTGGCTACTTACTACGTCTTGTTTGAAATTATGTAATACCTAATCATTAGTTATTAATTATCAATTTGAATAATTTAATTCGATCTCCTCGTTCCCATTTTCCCGAATATTGTCGCCAAGCTAACATTATGCATTACTGACAAGTTATATTATAAATAACCATATTGTCTATTAACTAAATAAATTATATAATAAATGGAATTATAAATGACAATAAATCAACATTATATATTTGATATTCTCATATTAATTTCTCAATCTATTTTCCTGAAATTAAACACACAAAAAAGAGAGAGAAAAAAAGTGTAACGTTTCGAGTCTGACTAATCTCTCATCAGGTGACGACAAAACCTACTGGGAAATCTGGTTTGGTTCGAAATGCTATAATCTATCGTTCCTTTATTTACAAATGTTTATAATAGTTTAATAGTTGTTATGTATTAATAGTTGTTTATAATAAATGGTATGTTTATAAATGTTTATAGTTATATAGTTACGTGTTAATAGTTGTTTATAACAGTTGATTTGTTTATAAGTGTTTATAATAGTTTAATTGTTATTATGTGTTAATATTTGTTTATGATAATTAAGATGTTTATAGACGTTTATAACAGTTTAATAATTGTTATGTGTTCATAGTTGTTTATAATAGTTAATATGTTTATAAATGTTTATAATCGTTTAATATTTGTTGTGTTAATAGTTGTTTATATCTATGTATTCGGGGAAGGTAAACTAACATTATTATAGGACACATACTGGCTTATTCCTAAAGATAAGATCACATCCGTTACCTTCTTCTTAATTAACAAGAATTAGATCATAAAACCAATTATCTTATTCTTAAAGGCATCAATAGGAGTTAATGATTAAAAAAAAAAAAAAAAAAAAAAAAAAAAAAAAAAAAAACATTGACCCATTTTAAATCAGTAAAGAAAACATAATAATGATAAATGTAAAATAGAAAATTTAAAAATCCGATTGCTTCATCTCTAAACTTCTTTCATAGAATCGAAACTGATACGATTAAAACGAAATTGCTGACTCATCACTAAACCTAAAACTAGAATTATAAAACCACACCCACGGCTTATTTCTAAGATCTTAAACCACATTACAAAACTATGTTTATTACCTTTAACAAAACAAAAAATATACACTGACGTCTTGCTAAACCAATTCACAGTATCAAAACTATAAGTATATATATTATAAACCACACTGACTGTCATCCTGCCGTTACCTCATTAATTCAATTTTCCGAAACGTTTGCGGAAAAGAGGAAAGCCATCATAAGTCTCATAAATTCTGCTGATAATTTTTCTTCCTAAAAGTTTTCGAAATAAAAAGGTTAAGATAACGTTGTAAACATTTACTTTCTTGCCTCGTTTCCTAAGTCATTCATTCTTCATGGATTTTTACGGGAAAATAAACTGACGTCGTGAAACATTCCTTACGCTTCCTCTTAATTTCAATCTTCCTAAATTATCATTCTAAACTGAATTTTATTGCATTATTTCAAATTCATCCTTACTAAACATTTATGGAAACAAAATACAACAATGCGTTTGTGCTTCTTCTTAAGCCTAAGTTAGCTTAAGTTAGACTAACACTGTAAATGTTTCGTCTTCTTTGATATCACTTCCTCTATCTATCCTTCCTAAAAAATAAAAAAACGTTCACGGTAAAACGTTCGACAAACAGGACCCCCAGAAAGACATTACAAACGTTCTGTCTTTCGTGGCATCACTTCCTAAATCTACTCTTCCCCTGCCTCCCCCATCCCCCTCAAAAAAAAAAAAAAAACGTCCGCGGTAAAACGTTCGACAAGCAGGACCCCCAGAGAGACATCATAAACGTTTCGTCTTTCTTGACATCACTTCCTCAATCCACTCTTCCTGAAAAAAACGTTCGCGATATAACGTTCGACAAGCAGGACCCCCAGTGACACCAAGATGCTACCACTCAGCAGCAGGAAAGGCGTGAGAACTGTCTTGAGCTCGATGGGCTGTGTCTCCAAGGCGCTGCAGTCTGTGCTGGTGAGGCTGAGCTCTTGCCACCACTTCTTCAGGAGTCCGGAGGAGATGATGTCGAGGACGCTGTGGAGAGAAGGGGAGGGGAGAGGGAGGGGGATGGAAGAGAGAAGGGGGGGAAGAGGAGAAGGAGAGGGAGGGGAAGGGGAGAGGGAGGGGTGATGGATGAGGGAGGGGGAAGGGGAGAAGGAGAGGGAGGGGGAAGGGGAGGAGAGGGAGAGGGAGAGGGAGGGGAAGGGGAGAGGGAGGGGGGATGGAAGGAGGGGGGAAGGGGAGAAGGAGAGAGAGGGGAAGGGGAGAGGGAGGGGGAAGGGGAAGGGGAGAAGGAGGGGGAAGAAGGGAGAGAGGAGAGGGAGAGGGAGAAGGAGGGAGAGAGGAGAGAGAGAGAGGGGGGAAGGGAGAGGGAAAAAGGATGGAGAGAGGGAGAGGGAGAGAGAGAAGGATGAAGAGAGGGTAGTGTGATTAAATATGACTATGCGAGTAAATGAGAGAACAGACAGATAGAGACAAAGAAATTAAAAACACAGAAAAAAGAAGACAGACAAAAAAAAAAAAAAAACACTAAAAAAATACATATCCTTAACAATACAGAACACACCACAACTCACACCCTCCCCCCCCCCCTCTAAAAACAACAAGCAACAACAAACAACACACAAACTCACAGCTTATTAAAAACAGGGACCAAAGGCGACCCCTTAGTCAGCGCGAAGGAGGTGTACGTAGGAAAATACCCCGTCGGAAGCGTGAATACCCGACAGTCCTGGGCGTAGTTGACCTTGAAGTAGATCCCCCACAGCATGAGGGCGTAGTTCTCGCTGTAGACGCGATTCATCCCGTCCTGCGCCGTGAGAGCCAAGTCCTCTTCCTCCATGCGACGCCAGACCGACTGGTGGAGGGGGTTCTTCGAGTCCTGGAAAATGTTTGTTAAGAGTTTTGTTGGAGAGAGAATAGATGGGGGAGAGGGAAAGAGAATAGACAGGGAGAAAGAGAGAAATAATTGACGGGGAGAGAGAGAGAAAGAATAGACAGGGAGAGAGAGAGAAAAAGAATAGACAGGAGAGAGAGAGAGAGAAAGAATAGACAAGGAGAGAGAGAGAAAGAATAGACGGGGGAGAGAGAAAAAGAATAGACGGGGGAGAGAGAGAAAGAATAGACAGGAGAGAGAGAGAAAGAATAGACAGGGGGAGAGAGAGAGAATAGACAGGTTGAGAGAGAAAGAATAGACAGGAGAGAGAAAGAACGGACAAGGAGAGAAAGAGAAAAAGAATAAACAGAGAGAGAGGGAAAAAGAATACACAGGGTGAGAGAGAGATAGAATAGACAAGGAGAGAGAATGAATAGACAGGGAGAGAGAGAAAAATAATAGATGGTGAGAGAAAGAGAGAAAATAGACGGGGGAGAGAGGGAAGGAGAGAAAGGGGGAGGGAAGGGGGTGAGAGGGGGGGGAAGAGAGAGAGAGAGAGAGAGAGAGAGAGAGAGAGAGAGAGAGAGAGAGAGAGGGAGAGAAAGAATAGACAGTGAGAGAGAGAGAGAAAGAATAGACGGGGGAGAGAAGGAAGGGGATAAAGGGGGAGGGAAAGGGGATAAAGAAAAAGAGAGAGAGAGAGAGAGAGAGAGAGAGAGAGAGAGAGAGAGAGAGAGAGAGAGAGAAAGAAAGAGGGATAGGGGATGGTATGATGAGGGTATGACGGGGGCAAGGGATAGATCTGGGTTGGGGTGGGAGGATGGTGGATGAGGGGGGGGGGGCATGGGGGCGAGTTAAGGGAAAGTGGGCGGGGGTTAGAGGGGAGAGGATAGGGGCGGGACTTGGGAGAAAGTGGGCGGGATTGGTGGCATGTGGGCGCGGTTGATACAAAACTGGTCGAGATCGGTCAGAATTTTTTGGAAACTGGTTATGACTGGTCGGGATTGGTGAGATATAGATATACTCATACATATACATGTGATATATACTCTTGATCACAAACCAGAAAAAGAATACTAGTAAATAATAAATGATAGCAATAACAACAAAAAAGGTATTTAAAATAATAATAATATCACCAACAAAACCCAAGACCAAAACAAAAAACAAAACAAATAACAATTACATTAAATAAAAAAACATTAAACAAAAAACATCAAACAG